CATGAGACCTGCAACATAACCAGTAGGCTATCCGCCGACCTTTTGTGCAATTTAGACAATTTGTAGAAGTTTGCCTGAGACTTTGTCTGATTTAAAAACAAGAAATCACAGAATATCTGGTGACCTGGACTTCAGTTTCTGTTTCCGTGGTATCAAACAAGTTTCCATATCGTTGGATTTTTACTAGAATCACATCAAAGTTTAAAGCATTGGACGACCCTTCTCTGACAGCAAGAAGACAAACTCATCATCAGTCCGAGCTTCTTCTCTCCGTCTCCTTTTTTGAAAAAAACTGACATAAACAAAGCCAAGAGTAGAAAGATCCTTCTCGTCCACAACACATGGAGTCCTCCAACTCTCCCTTTCCTACAGTAAACACCCATCTGTGTACGATTAGGAGGGCAAGCAGCCGTCACACACACACACACACACACACACACACACACACACACACACACACACACACACACACACACACACACACACACACACACACACACACACACACACACACACACACACACACACACACACACACACACACACACACACACACACACACACACACACACACACACACACACACACACACACCACACACACACACACACACACACACACACACACACACACACACACACACACACACACACACACACACACACACACACACACACACACACACACACACACACACACACACACACACACACACACACACACACACACACACACACAATTTGAGATCGTGCAGCAGAGGGGCTTCTGGGAAACGGGACGCACAGGTAAGATACATGAGAGCTGTGAGGTAACAGGAAGTACATCATGGAGAGTTTCATAACCAATCTCATTATTCTGAACATTCATGCAGCAAAAAGCTTCAAACTCGTCTGAGCCAAAAGTTATTTTCCACGATCGTTTCTTCCCTTTCACAGAAACATTTTATTAACATTTCTCAGTTTTTCCATAAACTTTTATTTTCTCATGTCTCTGTCGAAGTCCTCGCCATCGTGGAGCGTAAATACAGATTTAACGGGATTTGTTTTCTGTCAAATGAAAGACACATGTGCAGGAACTCAGAGTCACGGCTCAGCACAACAGTAAAGACCAGTAAGTGTGAGTGAGAGCGCGTGTGTGCGTGTCTGTGTGTGTGTTTGTGTGCACAAGTGTCTAAATAAGTGAAAGTATGAGCTTCACTCTGTCAGGAAACTGTGCTTGGAGGAGGAAGGAATAACGTCTGGCTCTCTTCCAGTGATGCTATGACAGGAAATGTATGCATCCTTAAGTAAACAGAGCTGTTAGCCTGCAGGACGTCGTGCTGTCTAATGGTAGCTGACACACACACACACGGTCCTATCACTGGCTCTGATCCAGGCTGACTCTATCCCACATTCGGTCTCTGGGTAACACTTTAATGGATTAATAAATACCTGCAGAAACACTTGATGACTAAACTTCCTAAAAGGCAGCAGGCTCAGAAATCTAAAATGTGTTTTTCGTTTCTTTCTAAAAGTCACGGAGCGATGACGACTCAGAGCGGCTGAGCAATGATAATCTCAAATCATTCAAGTCTGTAAATAAGAGGAAGCTTATGTTTATTTAGTATTTTTAGAATCTGGACATGCAGGATGAAGAATATTAGTGTGGCAGTTCAAAGCAGAGAAGCACCGAAAGAGATTCACAATTTTTACCTGCCGATTATTGATTTTAGCTGATTTAGATATAGCTGCAGCAGGTAGCCTGGTGGAGGTGGAGGAGGGAGGAGGTAGAGGTGGAGGAGGTAGAGATATCAGGGAGGAGGAGGGATGTGGAGGAAGAAAAAGGGGGAAGGAGGAGAAGATGGAGGTGGAGGAGGGAGGAGGTGGAGGAGGGATGTGGAGGAGGAAAGAGGAGGAAGGAGGAGATGGAGGTGGAGGAGGGAGGAGGAGCTGGAGGAGAAGAGATATCAGGGAGGAGGAGGAGATGGAGGAGGGATGTGGAGAAGATGGAGGTGGAGAAAGGAGGTAGCGGTGAAGGAGGAGAAGATGGAGGTAGAGGAGGGATGGAGGAGGATAAGGGGAGGAGGGACGAGGGTTGAGGAGGTGGAGGAGACAGAGGGAGGAAAAGGTATCATATTTTACCTCTTCCTAATATTGATGTTAGATTTTTGATCTGACATCTCTATTACTGATAATATATTGAGTATTTATCATGTAGGGAGATGAAGAACCAGGTTTCTGAGTGCAGGTAAACACCAGATCCTGGATATGATCAGAACCAGGATCAGACTCTTAACCGGGGTACTCAGGTCCATGTGATCACACTCAGTGGTTTATTTATCATCGTAAATCAGACCCTGTTAAACTGAAAACATACTGCGCTAACAATGAGGAGAGGTAATGTCTTATTACCTCTCATGAGGTAGAAACGTCAGCGGGAATTAAAATAAATGGGCTCGCATTAACAAAATGACTGTGTGTGCCGTTAAACTGCACGCCGTTCAGTTTGAATCCAACCTGGAAAATCCTGCAGGTCTAAACACAGAACTTTATTTATAACAGACAGAAGAGCTGCTTCCACACAGCTTTGAATTTATTCTTTTTATTTAGATGTTATTCCTCCGACTCCTGAACCCTCCAACCCCAGAGCAGTTATAAAGACGAGCTTAAACTGTGCGTACGCACACACACACGCACGCACGCACGCACGCACGCACGCACGCACACACACACTTACAGAGTGTTATGGCACTAGGAAAGAATCTGCCACAGTCACTCAAACTGACAGCTTTTATTATTTATTAATTAGCTTCTTTTACAAGCTGGAGAATTTAGTAATTTACTGAGGCTGCTGGCAGAAGGAGGAGGAGGAGGAGGAGGAGGAGGGGGAAGAGGAGGAGGAGGTGGTGGTGGTAAAGAAGGAGGGAGAAGGAGCAGGAAGTTTGAGGGAGGAGGAAAAGGGTGGAGGACTGAGTTGGTAGAGGAGGAAGTGGAATGAGGAGTTGGAGGAGGAGGTTGTTTTTCCAGCCCTGAGGGACAAAGGAGCCTCTCAGGTAAGAGTGAAAATCCAGCAGCTCTGAATCCCGACTCGACTTATTTCCTCTTTTATTATTATAAAAAAGACTTCAGACGGAGGAGAGACTTTATATTTTTAAAATCATTAAATTAATCTACACGTGGTCGCTGTTTCTGCTTCCTGTTTTCACTGCACAAACGTTCTCTGCGTTTTATAGAATGAACGTCAGAGAAACATTTTAATCATAATTATCTATTAAGAGCCAAAGAATGTGTTAGATATCCAGGACGAGCACTTGTACTGTGCTTCCGCAACGCCAAAATGCAACGTGATCTCACAGACTGGGACGCCAATATCACGCCGTCGATGTGACAGCGGCTGAGCAGAGTGACGGCACTTTTGGGGAAAGCACGACTGACACATCCCACCCTGGACACCGTCTCTTCAGTCCGACCCGCACCTCCAGATCCCTCAACGGGTTCTACCAAAGAGCCATTAAGGACCTGGAACCTTTTTCCCTTAAAGCGAGGGATGTAGAGCGTAAGGACGGACACCTTGAAAGGGTGATCGGTATTTAAATCTTCTTTTTCTTATCAACAGCATCAGCATCTCATAATGTTTGACTTTCACAGAGTTTGTTTACAGGAGAGAACAAAACAAGACATCAATACATGAAGGCACGTTGGGGGTCACACTGAGCATGTGCAGTAGAAGAATCATGCAGTACCTCGCTCTCACTACACTCGCTGGGATCATCGCCATGAACCGACATCTGGTAGCAGGCGTACAGCGCCGCCGACTGCTCATAGGACGCCGTGAACTGAGGGTCCTCAAAGCTGACCGGCACTAGCCTCACCTTCAAACATAGAGGGTGTGGAGGGAGGGAGGGGGATTTTAAAGGGATGACATTAACACAAGGAGGTGGAGGAGTTAGAGAAGGTTTGAAAAAAAAAAAAAAAGAAGAAGCTGTGCAGGAACGCAGAGCGCAGGATTGAACAACAGAGGTTGTAAACAGAGTTATACAAGAGCTCTGCATGTCAGGGTTCACTTCAGTCTCCTACAGTCCTCAGGGCAACATGCTAACACAGCACGGCTGCTTCCAGTTTACACACTGATTCACTGCTTTTATCAGATGGCTGCACACGTGAGTGCAAGACAACAACCGAGGGATTCTAGGAGACTGAAGTCGTGCTTTCAGAAAAAAAAAAAAAAGATGGCGGGCAATTTGAGGATGAGGCTAGTGCACTGCCAAGCTCCGAGCACGGATCGCAGGGGGGAACATTTAAACAGGGCCGTCACGGTGTCAGGATTTTAAACTTCAAACAATCTATAACAAAAATAGAAGTCCGAGGCATCAATATCCAGGAATTCCTTGTTTTCAATGAAACGCCTGCACGATGTCCAAACGTTTGGGTACCGAAAAGTTTCCAATGTTTTTGTGAAATTTAGATACTGTGAAGGAGATGTGTTTTTTTTTAAGTACAACCTTAATCAGCACGTAGAGTGGAGAGGCTGCAAGGTGGTGGTGGTGGTGGTGGTGGTGGTGCACAGACGGAATGAATGTGTGAAGGTCGAGCTGCCCCCCCCCCAACAAAACCGACACAACTCGAGACTAACGACTTGACCGAGGGCCAAGTCAGACACCTGGAGAAACACTGCTCTCAACCACGGAGGATGGAAACATCTCCCATTCCCTTTCCTCCCCCTCTCTTTGACACACTCTCTCCCCCTCTCTCTCTCTCGCTCTTAAGACGAACACCTTCATTCGCTTCTTTCCATTCATGCAGACATTTTGATTTCCCTCCTGCTGCGTTGGATTTCCAGAGTGTTTTTTGAGTAAATTTAAGATTGAAACTAAGAAACAGAGACAGGTATTCTTTAAATAAAAGATCCATCTTTAAAAAGAGGATAAGACGATGAGTCCTCTGTAGGTACCCGGACCTGTCCCTCCCCTCCCTGCCCGGGTACCACTGAGCAGGTTGACCTAAAGCCCCCCATCCTCTGACCTGGCTCTCGGAGGGTTTGTCAGGAGGGTCCTTGTGAATGGCCATCTGGTAGAGTTTGTACACCTGGTAGGAGGCGTCGAAAGAGGCTTTGAACTGCGGGCTAGGGGGATTGGAGCGCACTAGCCTCACCTTCAAAAAGAATAACGTGCAGAAAAAAAGGTTAACATCAACACACGGATCAAAGAGCATAAAATACAGTGATGCTTAAAATCCTTTAAAAGAGGAACTCTCAAATCAAAGAGAGAAGAAAGGCGAGAGGACGAGACAAACACACCCTCTCCTGTCCACTCACACACCGGGTCATATTTATATCCAGAGCCGTCAGCGTTCATGGGATTATCAGGACGCGATTACATGTTGTTTTTTTTTATTGCATTAATAGAGTTCTATTTTGTCCCTTTCAGCCCACCGTAGTTAGCGTCTTCCTGCTGCATCAGATAAACAAACGACAGATAGAAAAAACGACACCAATGCGTCTTTGAATGCATCGCTTCACTTCTTAGAGAGGTCCCCATGACATGTTGTCTACCGGAAGTTCCTCCATTTCCTTTCAAAATAAAAGCTGTCTTTCAAATAAAACTGCTCCGTTACTTTTTCCTGCATGTCAACATCGCTTTTCTGAAAAGTTGAAAGATTTTCAACCTCCACAAAATAAAAGGAGGAGTGCTCGGAAAAAAAGACGCTGGGCTGTGAACGCTCTCATAAAAACAACTGAAAAAAAGATGCTGGTGGACACGGGCTCTAATAAAGTACGAAATATAAAATAACAGCTTGACGGCTCTGATTTTAAATGTTCTTATTTTTGAAAGATTTATTTTTCTTCCTTATTAAAAACACAACAAATACAAAGACAGCGGGCCGTTGTGTTTCACTCTGTCTTTTTATTTGTTTTGTTTTTTTTTACTGACTGATGTAAATCAAAGTTCCAGTTAAGTTCGGAGCTGAACTCAGAATGATCCAGTTCTCCCCGAAGCAGAGAGGGTGTGTTTGGTCCATCTCAAACGGGAGGTGTTACACAGAAAGGACAATGTTTCAAACATCAAACAAAATTCATAAATGACCTTTGACCTCTTTACTATAAATGTAATGAAGATACAGGAGCCCACTTCCAGCACTTCACCTCGTCATGTCTGATTTAAAGGACACACAGAGCAGAGATTACTTTTATGTCTGAATGAGATACAGAAATCAGGAGTCAGCAGCTTGTTCCTTCAAAATAAAATACAGACTTCTCCTAAAGTAAAGCTGCTCCATCGTCTCTTCTGGGCCTCCATACATGTGTGGTGGTGACTGTGTCTGCAGAGACTCTGTCCTCTGACTGGATTTTACTGTTCTGCTTTGTTCTGGTTGACTCTGGACGTTTCTGGGCGGAGCTGGTGTGTTTCCTCCAGCCAATGACAGCGCAGCAGGTGAGTTTATGGACGTGGACATAGAGAAAGTATAATCACAATGAGGAGAAACACCAAGCGGATAAAGCTGGTTCTAAAACGAGGGTGAACCTTGTGTTGTCTTTTACCCGTGGACGTGGAGTTGTTCTGCTTCCTGTTGGACTGGCAGGTGACAAACACCGCCGGTTAGCTTGTGACAGCGTGCGTTAGCTTACAGTGCAGCTACAAGCAGTAAACGTACACGGAGGGCTCCGTTTGAATGTTACAAACATTACTGACTCCACCTTTAATGTTCTTACTGCGTCATGATGACCTGTCGTGTCCATTACAGCTCAATCAGTCCGTATGCAGATATTTAAGCTGCAGACTTTGAGGGGAATGTTTGCAGAGCTTTAAATCAAACTGTGACGGAGAGGCTGAGGACAGAAGAAGTCTGCGTGTTGCTGATTTCACACAAACTAAAAGAAGACTCCGAACTCCTCATCCACGGGCCTCTTTTAATTAACCGTCTGCAGGTTGTGAAGCTTTTGTTGGCTGCAGAGGCGGAGCCAGAAGAATCCCCTGGACAGACGGACGACGGGGACAGAGGAGCTGAACCCGCGGTTTGTTTGAGTTGGACCTCGGAGGCTTTCTCTCATATGACCACTTGGCATCTGAATCCTTTATTCAAACAGACATGCTGGGCCTCTTTTTTTTTAATAAAGGTCCACTCTTTCTCATTTTCAATCTAAAGATTTATTTTCATTGACTGGAATCATTTTGGTGAAGCAACAGTGCAGCAGATGAAGACAGCATGGAAATTAAGTTTTAAAAATCCTCATCACACTCCTGAAATTTAACACCCGCAATGTGACCTCTTTGTGACCCCTGGTAGAGTAGAGTCTCATGATGGCTTTTGTTCTTCTTCATTAAAAAGACATTCACAGAGGCTTGAACTCAGAGATGTGTTCCTCTAAACCTGGATCTCTCAGACTTTACAGTAGAGAGGTTTTTTTTTTTTAAAAGTGTATAAAAGTTGAGACGACTCGCTGCTGGATCGTTTCATGTTAACAAAAAGTGAAACACTTTGAAAAGTCTAAAATGTGTGAAGACAGAGGGGGAGAGCTGGAAGTAAAACAGCGCCACACTCTCCTGAAGGGCTCTGAGTCGCGGTCTCACACTGACCCCTGGTGGTGGATGATGGAACCACAGCTGACTTTAAAGCCCAAACAGCAAACGGAGCTAATTAACAGACTTTACACTTAAACTTGATTTCTCTGACGGTGTTATTAATCTCTGCAAACTGCATTTGAGTTCTGTAAGAAGTGAAACATCTCCTGATGCAGCAGAGCAGGTTCAGAGGATGTAAATGTCTCTGTTTCATTTCCTGTTAATGTTTATTTGGAATAACATCCTACGTGACCTGCACAGAAGTAGCGTGACATCTTTTACAGATGGATTCAATTTAGATGCCGCAGTGTAAAACATCGCCATCTTCATCTTCTGCTGTGAGAAACTCTTTAAAGTCTGCAGCTCAGTCGATCACAACGAGAGATTCAGGATGAGGATTAAATCACTGAACTGAAACTGCAACATGTGATAAACAGCTAACTGCGTCGGGTCGATTATTCGCCTTGTACAGATATGATTAACCTTCCCTTGCAGAGGACGCCCTTGCGTTCATGCCCACTTAGTGAAATTGGTCGATAATTGCAGGGACACTAATGAATCCAATTGTAAGAGCAGACTGGGGGGGAGGGGGGTCTTGCTGTTCTAGTCTTGAGGGGTTTGCAGATAAGAGACAGACATGTCGGGGTTCATCGCTGCATCTGGCTCAAATCTTAGTAAAGACCAGAGGTGACGTCACTCGACCAACCTCAGCTAAACCTCAGAAATCTTTCTTCATAATCCCCCCCCCCCCTTCCTCCTCCCGCCAAAAAGCTTCATTTCCATGTCGTCTCATCCCGGCAGAGCTGGGAGCTGTGGTTTTCATGTCATCAGCAGGGTAACATGACTCGGTTTGTGCGGTGTGCCTGTCGTTTGGTTGAACTCAAACTGGGAAGCGATGGTTTTTCCACTCTGCTCTGGCCACATATTGGCGCCCCGCACACGTAAACACGCGGTGAAGTCACTGGAAGCTGACTGAATCCAAACATGGCGGAGACAGAAACTCCACCAAAAACAGAGACTCTTTAAATCATCACAACGGTCGTCCAAGTCACACAAACAGAGAGAGAGACGAAAGACCCTCGTCTGTGTTTCTGCTTACCTCGAGGCCATGAGACGAGTTCTCAGGCAACGACTTGGTCATGAAGTCTTCCAGAGGTTTGGGCTGGTTGGTCTGGGTGGGGGTGGTGGGTGTGGGTGAGACGATGGGGGAGGCTCCATCCGCGAGTTGTCTCGTCTGCTCCTTCTGAAGACGGCGCTCCTTCCTCAGGTCTTTGGCCTTCCGACACGGCGGCCTGCTGGCGTCAGCGCCCGTTCCTGCACCACAGAGAAGAAAGAAACTTTCAGACTCTTCCTGAAGCTTTGTCATGCTGATGACATGGCAGAACATTTTCACCACATTTCAAGATAACACCGGGGAGGGAAATGTCGTGCATACTCTACAACTGAAACGTTTACGACCACAACCACTATCTATGTGCTTACACTCTAGGACCTGAACCTGGACGCCGCCTGAGAGCTCACACCGTACCCGATGTGCACCGCCTCAGTCATATCAAAGACAGTCCTGAAGTCGGGAATATGGCTCTGCTCTCATCATGTGAGGGTGTGCAGTCGTAAGGCCAACATTTGAAGCTTGTCGGACCGTTAAAAAGCAGGTGCCTACTCGCCTTCAAGATGGCGCCAGTGGAGCGGCAGCCTGTTACATGCAGTGTATCTATCCATCAGCTGTTTAACCCCAGGCCACACCAACAGGCATGTAAGTACAAAAATTGTCGTTTTAAATCGTAAATCGTCAGCTCGTGAACACACAAACATCAGAGCTCCAGAAAACTGTTCTGCTGTTTTACTGCAGCACTAAACTAAATCCACTGACTTTACCTAAATGACATGGAGAGTTTTAACGAGTTCATGACTTTTGAAAGCTTTGAGAGTAAAACTGTAGACTCCTCGATGTCTTCTTTGAGAGCAGCCTTATTACTCTCAGAGCAAACTCATACACTTTCTCTTTTCTCTCTCTAAAAGGAGACCAACGAGAACAATCTCTGAAGCAACTGAATCCCTGTTTCCCTCTCTCTGTCCCCCTCCTCCCCAGAGCTCCTGCCAAGCCCTGCAGCTCTTCGGGCATCCCATGTCAACAGTTTACACGCCCACATCCCGTTTGGAGCAATAAGGAAACGACAACCATTTCCTGCTCGTCCTATTGCCAGCCGCCACCATAAGCTCACTTTCTTTACACTCCCTGAGTCGACGTCACAAAAGGGGGGGTGGTGGAGGTTCAGCTGAAGGATTTAAGATTCTTTTTCTACCAGAAGAGGCAGCGTTGATTCTTTGAGGAGTCAAACTGACCAGAGCAGGACATTAAAGGTTATTCAGTGATTCATGTTAAATTGATAACAGGTATAATATGTAGGCGTGACTTAAAGTAGACCCTGACCACGATGGTGTTTCTGAGACTTAGAATATATCAGTTCCAGAGAAGAATCAAACGAGGTCCGACATGAAGAACCACACAACCGTTACTTCTGACCAAGTGATCTGATTGGACGGGAGGCATTTCATCTTGAGTGCTGCTGAGACTTTTCACCACACATATCACTCCGCCTCAGCCATGAGGAGGAGGAGGAACACCTATTTACATTACAGTGAACCATGCTCCTCTCATTGTATTGTTTGCATGATACATTTAAACACATAAAGGCAAAAAAGAACAATAACAAAAAAAACAACTCTCTCTCTCACACACACTCTTGAGGACAGCACACGGAGCCTCAGTGAAGATAAAGTCTGACAGATCGGTTCCTGTGGACGACATGTGTTTCCACTCCTGCACTTAACACTTCATAAAAACTACGACACGCTCCTTTCCTGTTTTTCACCACGCACGCACGCACGCACGCGAACAGAGAAGCTCGTCTTGAAAATAAAAACAGGAGGAGACGAGAAAAACGAAAACATTGAAAAAAGAAAAATTATTTTTGTGGTGGCCAATAATGAAATGAAATAAATGTGCTGCTGCTGTCCCGCATGTTAACCTGTAGGGACACGAGGTGTGTATTCTGTGGACGGAGGAAGCTGTTATTAAATCGCCGTGATAAGCAGACTGTGTGTGTGTCTCTTTCTCTTCACTCCGCAGACTTTAAACACACTCGGACTTTACGGCCTCCTACTTTTTACAACTCACACATCTGGGCTCTCTGCCATTATGCAACAACTTACTTTAATGAACACCATCACCTGCTGCAGGAGACTTTCCAGGAAAAAGTGTTGATCCTAGCAACTCTATAAAAGGAGAGGACATAGGCTGCTGGTCTCCAAAGTAATGCCAAGCTTGAGTGTTTTAAACCTGCATTCTTTCCAATGGCCAGTCGGGGGCAACTCCACTGTTTGCAAAAAGAAGGACCCAGGTAGGATTAATATTTGCATCGTCTAAGATTATATCCTGTCACTCATTTTGCAAAAATATATCGAAACAAGTGTTGAGAGTCAGCACACATTCACTGCAAATGACTGAGCCGAACAGGACAGAGTTCTGATTGAAAATATCTGTCCAGGTGTTCTCTGTTGGAAAAGGTCTGTCCAGGTGTTCTCTGTTGGAAAAGATCTGTCCAGGTGTTCTCTGTTGGAAAAGATCTGTCCAGGTGTTCTCTGTTGGAAAAGGTCTGTCCAGGTGTTCTCTGTTGGAAAAGGTCTGTCCAGGTGTTCTCTGTTGGAAAAGATCTGTCCAGGTGTTCTCTGTTGGAAAAGGTCTGTCCAGGTGTTCTCTCTCTCTCTTTATGGTGTGTGTGTGTGTGTGTGTGTGTGTGTGTGTGTGTGTGTGTGTGTGTGTGTGTGTGTGTGTGTGTGTGTGTGTGTGTCGTGATGCATCAACACTAAACCGTAGTCCCCCCCCCCTCGCTGTATGTCGGGATGAGCAGTAAGGCTGACACCAAGCTGTCGTGCTCGTCTCTGGAGCGGTTAGTTCTGTGGATCCTGTTCTCGTTAAATATTAGTGGAGCTCTCAAACAATAAGTGGTTAAAGTGCTGCTTCCTGTGTCTAACAGGAGTTTATTATCTCTTCTCTGTGAGTGTTGTTTATTCATTACTGTGAGGATTTCCTGCTCTGAACACTGAAGGGGAGAAGAAGACGGATGAGCTCAGGGCAGACACTCTCCAGAGAACAGCAGAAAACAGACTCACTCAGAGAGAAGCTGCTGCACACAGGGGCGTCTGCAACGCAGTGAACAGTGACACACCGTGGTCAGCAACGCTGCTTTAATACACAACACCAAAGAATCAGTCATTCAAAACACTGATGTCACGAACTGTCCTTAAAGCTACCTTCACTACTTTAAAGCTGCCCCTCCTTCAGCTGTTTCTAATTCAACCTTTAGATCAAGAGCAAAGACTCGTATAAAGGCTGTTTTTAAAACAGTCCTGGCTAAGAGAGGCCGCAGCTTCATACACTAAACCCACCAATGAACCAACAAGAGATTAAGATATCAAGAAACACTTGGTACATCCTGATGCTTCTGCAGCCATGACCAGTGCAGAAAGAGCAGCTAATTTCCACATGTGCGCCACGCACTACGGCACTGGTCAATGCACTCGCTGTGGTCCGTCTCTGGAGCATGCCAGCAGCGCCTCTCCACTCTGCGAGTCTATTACAGCTGTTCCTGGCTGCGCTCGAGAAACTGACCCAGTGAGGCAGGGCGTGCGCCGTCGGACGGAGCAAAATCGTGGCTCTGCAGAACGCAGCATGCAGTTTCCAAACACAGCAGGAGCCATCGCAGTCAGTCAGGCTCATTGTTGATGTGTAAAGCAGCGAGTAGTAGTGATAGTTTGAACAGCTTTATATCAGACTTCTCACCTGGTTTAGGAGCGGCAGCTGTCGTTCGTCCATCAGGTACACACACCGGATCCTTCCTGGACGTCTCTGAGCCGGTCGGTGCAGCGTCAGCTTCGTCCTTCTTCTGAGCGTCTGTGATCGTCAGACACTCTGCGGCTTCCTTCTGAAGGTCTGTGACGACAGCACACTTCAGATCCGAGTGACAGATTTTACCGTGCTCCCGTGGACCGGCGTCTTCACACACAGACTCCATCGGCTCACCTGGAGACACAAACCTTAGCGTTAGTTACACCAGACAATCTGCTACACACAACCACAACACCAACACTGAGAGGAGTCTGTGAAGGATGAGGCTGAAGAAACAGATGTTACACATTAAAAACATGTTAATGTCACGGCCTCTAATGATGCAGAAACCTGCGATGAGGTAAAAACATCAAAGACTAAAATCATAAGATCTGTTTCAAACTGTGGAAGCCGATTTGTGTTTTTGAATAAATCTGAATTCAGGCAGATGAAGAAACATCAATAAATCATCTGTAATGTTTCCTGATAGTATAACAAGCTGCTGTCTTTTTTTTTCTTCCATGTTTTGAACATGAGTATAAAAATGTATGTCGGGCAGGTTTCACAACCTAAGGGTCCCGACCCCCAGTGGGGTCGTATGGAATTCAAATGGGGTCGCCTGAAATTAGTAATTATAGGTCGGAAAGTGTATTGCAGCTACGCCTGGGTGATAAAACAATAACGCTTAAGAGAAGGAGAAAAAGACAACGAACAGCCAATCAGGTCGCAGGGATTTGGGTGGGCGGGCTTACAGACGTTTGGAGCGGAATGGAAACACAACCGAATTTAGCGATAGCGACACCGAAGAAAACGTGGATCCTACCAGCTCAGCCTCAAGACGTTATCCAGTTTAGCATGGGCTTTAGGCTACTGTGAGCCTCAGCCAACGCGTCATGTGACGGCTACGTGACCACGCTTTAAATTGCTCAAATGTAAACACAAGATGCCACGCCACTAACCAAGACCAAGACATACCCGAGAACAGAGTGCTCCGAGACCGATTCAAAACCAAGACCATAAATATCTCTGAAGAATCCTCATCTTATGTCCCTCACACTTTAACACTGGGAAGGTTGCGTCCGTAACCGGGGGATAAACTCAAACTACAAATAAAGTGATTTGTTCTTTTAGAAAGAGGCGTTTTCCTTCTAATCACAGTAATGACGTCGAAAAATAGTCTTTCAGTGGTGCTCTTTATTAAAAATCTGGAGTCCGCCATGTCTGAGACTGAAACAAGACCGAGTAAAAATGCTTTTGATTCCCAGACGAGACCGAGACCTTCAAAACGAGGTCTACAGACCGGTCCTGAGTCCAAGACTAATGTGGAGTACTACGACACTAAACTGGGTTTTGGTCGTCTGCTGTCGTTAGGGTTTTGTAAAGTCAAAGTGAGATCACGAGCCAAAAGAAACCACTGATACCGAGAAAGAAAGAAAGAAATACCTTCATCAATCCCCGTAGAGCTAACAGACACGTTACTTATCAGACGATTCACATGCCGTCATACCTTTAATAACAGTGAAATAAATACACTCACCATCTTCCTGACCTTTGGGTAATTCTCCTTTCGAGATGAATTTGCTCATTTTCTTCAGGATTTTTTTGTGGGATTTGGAAGGCTGAAACTTCAGCGCGTGACATCTGAACAGAGAGACAGGTTAAGTTACAAAAACATAAAGTGAGTATAAAGCTGACCTTTATACCGGTTTAAAATACCGAGGCATGCACCGCCATTACCGAGAGTGCAGCCCTAAACATCAAAGCGGTGGTTTACTGTTCAGTAAATAAAGTTTGTGGAGTTCTGCTTTGATTTAAAGACTCCTCAAGTAAAGTCAACGAGTGACCAGCGTTGGCGGTCAGTGCAACTTGAACCTTTGAACAGACTGCGACTTATATTCCAGAGTTTACGGTATTTCTGCTGCTTCATAAATATTAAGGCGTTTATCTAACATGTCTGTAAATCCATCGTGCACCTCCCTTTGTGTGTTCAGTGTGTTGTGGTCTCATCAGTTCTCTGATCTGGACTTGTGATTGGTGGATTACCTGATGGTGTACTGTGGGCAGCACGTTTTGTTCATGATGGGCTTGTAGACGTATTTCCCACTTCTGCAAAGCAAATGACACAAGAACACATTATGAAGACCTGAAGTATATAAAACATTATTTATGATTCCATATTCAAAGTTTGATTCTGTATGAGGGCATTTAAGGAGGCGGCTTCTCACCTTCTCCATCCTCGATCGATCAGGTCTTGGTAATCCTGCACAGTCATGGTGTGAGTCCACATCCCTGAAAACCAAAGGAACATCCAAATTGTCAAACATTAAAGGAACAATGTGCAACTTTTAGATCCAGTAGATGTCGCTCTTGAGCTCCAACATGAAACCAAAACAAACTACTGTTTGGCCACGCCTCCTCCGTACTGAAGCCTCCACTCTCCTCCAGAGACACACCTCCAACCCCTCTCTCCACTCGAGTTTATATGACTGATTTATGAATTAGAACGCATCATAATCAAGCACCATTAAGCAGTGGACAAAATTGTCCTTAGCTTGGGCTGCAGTCACCTGTGTCCTGAATTGTTGTGTTAGCATGCTAATGTTAGCGCTCTTTAGTTAGCTCGTAGCTTCACATTGCACATAAACTGACTCAGAATGATCGTGATCTAAAAACTCTTACTAACATCCAAATAATCAGTGAGTATGTTCTTCTTCTTCTTCTCTCTAGTCTTTGACTAAAACAGTTTTTATACACAAGGGGAGGGTTGGAATAAAAAACTCGAGCTTCTCACTCATTGTAGACAGACTCAGAGACATTTACAGAGGATAGAATTGATTTATGATATATTTATGTGGAACATGTCGCACATTCTTCTTTCTTAGCAGCGTGTGATAGTTTGGGGTTTTTTGTTTCAGTGTTTTTCGAATTGTTTTTGTCTTTTTGAAATATAAAACTCAATAAGAATAAATAAATAACTAGGATGTGTCATGTGTGTATCTGGAGGTTTGTGTGAAAGCTCTCTCAGAGTCTCTTCTCAGTTTCAGTTTTGACCCTTGAAGTCTGTTCCCACAGTTCTTTAAACCCCCAACGACAACATACACATTCATTATTTGTCTCCACAGCGGCTCTGATCCTCCTTCCCAGAACTCAACTCCTGACCTTCTGCTTTGCAGCCACATATAGTTTAAACACTCACACACAAACACACACAACCTCTCCGGCATGGCCAATATCAGTTTACATCCAAACCAACCAAGGGAATTCTCAGCACACTAGTTCACAAGTTTGCACCAGAGAATGAATCAGTGTGTCCCAGGAGAGCATCCGTGTTTAGTCAGAGTCTGCCGAGACACACTGAGCGGTCCAAGAGAGCGACGAGGAAACACACACGCCTCTCTCAAACTGAACCCTCCTACAGTATTATCTCAGTTCATATTTACAGCCAGCGCTGAATAAAGCACTACAGTACTCTATCAGGTGGACAGTGACAGGCAGCTGTCAGCTGTGGGACAAACGTTCCTCACTCCAGCAAAGAACATCAACGGCTTGTTGTAACCATGGTTCTTATGTCAGACGAATATGAACAGGCTGCAATAAAAGATCGAGACAGGCTACTTCAACTCACTCCACAGCATCATAAAATAAACTGTCGACACCCTGGTTTCTTCTTGTGATTCCCATGTTAATAATGAGCTGCCCAGTTCTTTAAGTGTCCCTGTAAATACACAACCCCCTAAAGGTCCAATCAGTAAGATGTGTAGTGAGTGAAATGATAAAGTGACCTTACTATATGATCAGACATTAAGGAAACATGCTATGTTGAAGTGCTGGCTTCTCTGACAACAATGCAGCAGTCAGTATGTCCTCCTTCTAACTTTAGATTCTGGTCCTGAATGTTCTGGATTTGTTTGGACCAGAGAAGGTAGACAGTTTTAAGACACTCCCACACGGCCGTTTTGGACGCCCCTCGGTTTGCCAGATATGAGAGCAGTTATCAGGTCAACAGGTGTTGCAGCGATGGAAGCGGGCAAGAGAAGTGATTCAGATAGAAGTGATTGTACCCGACCTAAAAAGCTTCTGCATGTTTCTAATAAGCTAAACACTGAAGAAAAACATCAGTAATCAGCTATCTTTTTATTTTAAACATCTTGTCGGCTTTATGTAGAAGTACACATGAAGCGTGTTATTCTAATGTCGGTGCAACAGCTGCCGTCATCACTCACACCTGATCCACCTGTCAGCCTCACTCAGGTGTGACAGAGACACGGGGGGGGGGGCGCACATGCTGGGATCTTACTTTGCAACAACACTGCTGATAACATCAATGAACCAATCACAGACAGGAAAAGACGACCTTACTGAACACCTGCCTGGAAAAGTCAACAATAGAAACGGACACGCTGCTTTTATAACTTTAGGAGAGAGTAAGAACGATCTGATGATTTTCTTCTCAGGAAAATAGAGTCTGCTCTTTTTTTTAGACGTGCTCCTTTTTTTACACCAACAAGAATTACACCTCCCTCCTGCTGTGATAGAATCCAGCATGCCCACATGATGTAACACATCCAGATTACCACTCCTAACTTAGTGTAGTGGAGCGACGGCTCTCGTCTGCAGACTCTGAGCCCGATCACTCGCTGGCTGCGCTTGAGGAAGTGCCGTAAACCCTAATTATAGTCAACCTGTCTGGCCCCTGCTCACCTCCTCTTAATGACACCAATCTGTCTCGCACAGAAAATCCATTCCCATCGTCCTACACAGATTTTTGTTATACCTCTGCATCAAAAACAGAACTTCTTAAGGCAGTAACATCAACCTTGATTGGCTTGAAATGACAGACTCCTCCTGACTTAGGTAAGTGGGCAAAAAAAAAAAAACATTATTCATTCTTAGTCTGCATGTATTCAGGACACAAAGGCACTAATGAGTTTGGGTCTCGAAATTAGTTTAAATGTTAGCCATCTAACTAGTTCCCAGTTTGATCTCAGCATAACTCGACCATGGCATGATCTTTTGACGTCAGTTAATGAAGACTGTAATGTTGTAGCATAAGCAACATGATGTCGAGCAAAATAGACAAGGGAGACTAGTCTATTCTCAGACAGCAGCTCACTGATTGGTGGAGAGGTATAGGGTTGCTACAAACCCGTTACTCTCCAAACTGGCTCGCAAATATTTGTGTGTACCAGGAACCTTTGTGCACTCTGAATGGTCGTTCTCGTCAGTAGGTAATATTATGACTAAAAAGAGAGCTGCACTTGATCCTGACAAAGTTGATAGACTTGTGTTTCCGACCTTCTGGTTCGGAGACGACCAACCACTGAGCCACAGCCGTCCCATTAAAGTTTCTCTGTCTGTTCCTCTTCAAGCTGGTCCACCACCTTCACACAGCTATGTGTGTGTATTTTGTTAAGCAGGAACATTTTATGTAATTTGATTATATTTAATTTCACAAATGACTTGTTTGTTTTGATGTACATGTTGACATTGTACAGCAGGCTGTTAATGAAAGTGCCTGCGGGACATGTGACATGATGATTTGACTTAGAAGCTAAATTTGGTTTCTGTTATTTCTTTCCAGAGTTTAATATAAAGATTTATATCGACACATGATGTTCGTTCCATATCGTTACGCCCCAAGTCTGCCTGCAATTTGTAGAAGGATTCATTCGTCTCCTACACACCTGTCATATGAAACAGATGTAGTACTTTTGTATACCACTGATGATTAAAATGACAGAAATTACATTGAAACAGTTGAAAAGTTTGTGTCACATTGTGATTTACCTGCAAATATGTTCTCAAAGTTACACCTGTTTATCTAACGAGATCAAGTTTTCAGTCTGTTGTCGAAAAGACAAACTGTCAGAAAATCCTGCCAAGAACTACAAAAACATACTGAGCCTGTTTTACAGTATTTACGGTATTTATAGTCCATCCGACTGGACCAACCAGTGTGTGCATTTAAACTTTGAACAATGACACCTGCATAAAGTGAAGCAGCTCCTAAAACAGAGGTGGGCAACTGGGGGCCACATTTTATTGTTTAATTCACTACAAATCTAAAGGATTGGAGACCTTTAAAACACAAAAGCATCCATTTTTAGAAGACTAATTTACTTTTTAAGCCTTATTAGTTATTAATCCATTACTATTGGATATTTGAGTATAAAAATCTAAATGTTTTAATTCATTCTGATGAAAGCTGTGTTGAAATATAACTTATTATAAATGTCTAATTGTGGGTTTCCTACACTTTGAAGAAGCAGGATTAAAATGTACGTGGCTCTCTTGGAAACCAAAGTTGCTCAAATCTTTTTTCCCAAAGAAACAAAACAAAACAAAACAAAACAAAACAAAACAAAACAAACAAACAAGAGCAATGATCTGCTTTCTGTCTGAATTAGCTTCATGCTAACAGAGGGTGTAACAAGTGTAGAGCTAAGCTGCTATTACGCCATGTTTCAATACAACAAATTATGAATAATTTACTAAGTGACTCATGTTTAATGACTCTGAATCATTTTAATATCTGTTTGTCTCTGACGATGAGAGAGTCCTAGCTAAAGATGCTAAAGGCTAACAGCAGCGTTAATAATAGCCTTAGGTAACCTGAAGCTAACGTGACATCAAGTAGAATTCATGTCTCTCCTGTAAAGTTAAGGCAGACTCATCTTAGTTTAATTCACTTACATTTTTGTTTCATAGTGCCACCATTAGCGTAAGCTATTTTTAAAACAAACTGCTCACTTTCCAGCTAGCAGACGGAGCTAACTCGTTAGCATGCGCTAGCTGACCGAGCTGCACTGATTAGCTTGTTTCCTGCGGACCTCCGTGAAGACACTCACCGTGGGAAAAGTTCCCGGTCTGGTTCTTGCAGTAACCGCAGCGATAACCATCATCTCCTCCGAAATATTCCACTATAGTGTAAGACTTGTTCCCTGCCATCTTCACTGAGGAGACCTGACAGCTCAGCTCGCCCGGTCCGGGGCTAACGACGCTTCCTGCCAAGCCCCGCCCACCGGCTCTACGTCATCAGTGCTGCGTTAAAAATGAGTGGGAGATTTGAAAGTCATCTGTCCAACAAAATATTTTTCATCTCAAACGCATTTACACGTATTACAACGTTGTAAACATGTTAACTTGTGACAGCCTTCAACAGGTCGGTTGCGACATGCCTTCCAAAAAAAATTATAAAAAATGTAAATCATTTACATTTTTTTATTTGACCCATTATTTTAAAAATATAAAAAAGCAGTGCAATAAGTGAAAAGAAAACAAATGTGTAAAAATAATGGATATGTGCTGCGTTATATGCTAACCACCTTTCATGTGGATTCCTACAGGTGTCTGAGCCAGGCAACATTTATCAAGTCATTTGAACAGCCAAACAAAAAGCTGAAAAAGCTTGCCGTCGGACGTGGTCACCTAGTGGTTCGTGTGCGTACCCCATTTGTGGATGTTAGTCCTCTAAATGGGTGGCCCGTGTTCGAATCCAACCTGTTTCTCCTTTGCCCTATGTCATTCCCCACTGTCTCTCTCTCTCTCCCTGATTTCTGACTGTCCATTGTCCTATCCAAATAAAAGGCCCAAAAATAAACCTTAATTGGTAAAACACCACTTTTTTGTTAAACCGGTCTCATAGTCGGCACTCACACATTCCAGTAAGGGTCCCACAGGCAGACATTTAATCCCGATTCACATTCATTTAGATTCATCACCGAAACAAACCCCAGATCACGTAAATATTCTTTTGTTTTAAATCTGTGGATAATCAACATGACTCCTCCAAACAAAACAAAATATTTAAGAGTGAAACAGACGTAAAGTTTGAATGTTGGTGTTTAGAAACGGTGTCACTGTGTAATCACTTTATACTGACTCAGCTCTGAAAACATTCAGTAAACTGTGACCTCAGGTTGTGACAGAAAACACAAAGCATCATGGGTAAAGAACTGTACAGAATATTTATTTATTAGAGGGAACAAAGAAAAAGTAACTGAACCAAAAGATCCTGCAAAACAACCGTTACAGTAAATCAGGAAGAGACGGAAGGAGACTTTTTCTTTGTAGAAAAATAAGTTAGAAAACCACAGCCGGGCGGCTCTGGTTTCTGCTGCCATAAAAATGACCTTAGAGAAGAAAGCGCTTTGTGTTTTGTACGTCACGCTTCCACACACACACACATAATGGAACATACACATCTTTAGTTTCCATAATTATGTCATCACTCAGCCCTGTAACAACCACTCACTCCTTTTCTCACTAATTAGCATCAATCTTTAAAAAACAGAGTTCGAGGTTTACGCACACGTTCATAAAAAACATGAACTTCTCGTCTGGCAACAGAAGCGTCTGTCCTGCATGCAGGTCGGTGGATTCTTACAGGTGATGAATGTAGCAGCAGCTGTGACGTTGAAGTGCTACTGTCACTTAAAAACTGTAAAACAAACTCTGCAGTTATCAGTTATTTCCCCTCCTGATGGCGTTCCTTTGGCCAGGGTCTTAGCTGAAGCTCCCCTGAGGCACCGGGATGTTTTCATGAAGGTATTTCATGCTGCCCTGCTCAGAGAAGTCGGCCACAGTGTGCCCCTCACCTCGAAGGACCCATTTGGTGGTCAAAAGCCCCTCCAAGCCCACCGGACCTCTGGCGTGTATCCTCGCCGTGCTGATTCCAACCTCAGCTCCTGCAAAAGAGCGTTAATAAAAAGGTCACATATAAATAAATAAAATCCACTTAACCATGTTCCTCTAACTCTAATATGTGTCTCTAGTCTGTGTTCAAATCCCCCAAAGATGAGAAAAGTGCATCCTCTCCGTCTTTTGCCTTCTCCACTTTCTCCACAGAAAATGTGTGCTCAAACAGGCCGTTTGGAGATTTTCCCTTCATGACATCACAAAGGGCAGTAACACCTCCTCCAGGTGGGTGACACTCCCACAGCTAGGTGTTTGTTCAGCCCTCTGAGTCTGCCTTCTCACCGTAAGCAATAGGACATGGAGCGAGAAATTCCGAGTACACCCAAGCCCTTCCAGAGAGGTGGCGTGGTCAAACAGAGCACATTTACATATTTAAAGGTACAGACACAGAAACAGCCTGTTCTGAGCAGGGCTGAAATAGAGGGGTTTATAGACATGATCAAATACAGGATCAGAGTGGATTTAGAACAAGAAACTTCACACACATGTTTTGAGGAGCTCTGAGACTTATTTACACTGAAGAAGAGGAGGATATGTGACCATTAACTTTTGTGGCACTTTTCTCGAGACAGTGGTAGCTAGATGCAGTTAATTTTTTAAGACTGAGTTGCAAAATGATTCCTGATGTAAGTGAGCAGCCATGCCTGACACGATGCATACCTAATCCGAAGCGGTATCCATCTGCAAAGCGAGAGCTGGAGTTCCAGAAAACACAGGCGCTGTCCACCTGCTGCAGGAACTGCTCAGCCGTCTCCTCGCTCTCCGTGACGATGACGTCAGTGTGCGAGCTGCCGTATTTGTGGATGTGGTCCACGGCGTCCTGCATGCTGTCCACCACCTCGATGCAGCACTCCAGGTCTCCATACTCCGTCCTCAGAGACATCACCTCGGACGGGCTGAAGGTCAAATAGGACGCAAACCTGGGGCCTGCATGGATCTTTACCTGAGAGAGAAAATAGACGATGGTATCTCCAAGGTCGCACATATTGAACCACACGCTGTCGTGAGACACCGTGGCTGAACGTGGCGGCGTGCGTTTCTTACATGTTCTGTTCTCAGCATGTCGATGAGCTGGTCAAAGATGGGAGTTCTCAGTAGATCTCTGTGGATGAGCAACGTCTCCATGGCGTTGCAGGCTGCGGGGTAGTCACACTTGGAGTCTCTGACTGAAAGAAAACACACAACGCTCTGAGACGTGTTTTAACATTTAAGGTCACCGTGGACCGTTAAGAACCGCGACACTTTGACCACGAGCGCTCGAAGAATACAAACAATAAAAACATTATTTCTTTTTCTTTCAGTTTGAAAGTACCGATCAAAGCACAGCAGGAACACATACCAACATCGATGGCTTTGTCTATGCTGGCGTCCTGGTCGATGTAGACGTGGCAGACGCCCTCGCTGTGACCGAGAACAGGGATGCCCTTCGCCGCCCGCTGGATGTTTCGGACCAGCTGAGACGAGCCGCGTGGAATGATCAGGTCGACCAGCTTGTCCAGCCTGCACAGATCGTCCACTTCTTCACGTGTGCTCACCTACGAGAGATCAGCCGAAGGTTAATAACAACAACCTTTATTTAGAGGAACTTTATTACAATCCAGGTAACGACGTGTTTCAAAAGGTAAGATGGCCGACGACCAGTTCAGACCGTTCATAAATTATAAAATAATATCATGGAATCGCATTATGCTTAATCAAGACACCGCCGTGTTAGATACTTGACGGTCTGACAGATCGTTGTTGTTAAGAAGAATTCACTGTTACTAAGAAAAAAAGACAGTTTCAAATCCCAGACTCTGGAGGACTCACTGTGATCACATCAACCACAGGAAGAAGTCTGCTTCATTTAACGAGGTCTGCAGGGGTTTATACATCGGGGGAGACTAGACCACCAACACACAAACGCACTGCACAGCGTAGCAGAGCCAGCCTCTCAGGATGGGATTCTGTGGTCCTCTTACATCTGAAGGACTTAGGACAGACCCCTTTGGAGGATGACACGGTGCACATCCTGACACGGGGACGAATGCTGGTTTGAAAAAGGGTTTTAAAGAAGCCAACCTTTAACCGAGGTGGCGGTCTGAGACAGTCCATCCTTGGACATGTGACCCCACCCCCCACAGACCACCGGGGGGGGGTTAACAACTCTAGACGACACCAGGTCAAAGACTCAGCTAACAACTCTGATGTGAGTCATCCTTGATCGTTAGCATGCTAATGATCCACAGAGGCTTAAATTTCCAGCTCTGTCCACCAGAACTGAAGAAGCTTCTCGGAGGATTAGAGGTGAAACAAGATCATTTACTAAGTCTGGTTTCCATTAGATCGAGCTTCAAACTGACCACGACCTGGATGACTGAGATCCTGCACAGAGATTTAATGGTCTGTTTACTGCGGGAGGAGAGAGACGAGACGATAACGAGGAAAGAGGATTAAAGATGCAAACACTACGACAGAGGAATCTATAAAAGAGGAGAAGACACATCAGGAGGATTTGGATTGAGACGTTCAGTTAAGGTCCTGACACACCATATACCTTGCATTATTCTATTATTGTATTTTTTCTCCCTTTATTTAACTGATGTAAATATGTTTGATTTTTAACTTCTTGTTATTTTTAATAAATATATTCCTGTTTCCTGTTTTCTTGAGCTGTTGTAACAAAAAGAATTCCCCCATGGGGGATCAATAAAGTTTATCTTTATCCTTATATTTACCAAGGAGACCATCGGCGGTCGGTCCTAGTTGGACCGTCGGTGAGCGATCATCGCCCTAGTTTTTGCGGTGTATCCAGCTACGTCGCTACCTGTTGTCCCCCGTTGGCCTTTTCTCGATCGGTGAGAGGAATCTCTCTGATTGGCTGTTGGGAGGTTTCATTTCTCTCCAGCTCTCCTCACAGGTTCAGTAAAGCCCCTTGAGCATGTTGCTGTAGTAGCCATGCTTTCACCCATTAGTGCGGTTTCTCCTTATTTGTCTCCTCCGCCTCTTCTTTTCTTTTTCCACTGAAAGACCAAGAGCTGACAACACCAGCGCCATATTTAACTTTTTATCAGACATTATTCTCCATTAGTAGACGACCTATAATACAAGTGGTGAGCGACAGCGGTGTGAAAATGGTCTTCTCGTATCATAACAACAGACTACCGCCCCCTGCTGGCATGGAGAGTTATTTCCTCTCACTGCAGAACGTGCGTGGTGGTTGGCCCTCAGCTGTAGTCTTTGCGGTGTGTTCAAGTGAAACTTTTTGGCCAAGACGTGAAGCCACGCCACAGACGGCCTTCGTCGCCACTAGTTCTTTGCCGTCTGCTTGGTGCGTCA